CCCTACCTGGTCTCCTGGCCTTCATTCTTGCCCCGCTCCAATCCATCCTCTTCAGCAGGGCTAGAGAGGTCTTTCTAAAGCACAAGGCTGACCCTGTCCTTCACTTGCTCTGAACTCCTCCATGGCTCCCTAGTGCTCTTGAGAGAAAGGCCAGGCTCCTCAACACAGCCTTCAAGCCTCACGTGGTCTGGCTTTTTGCCACCTGCTCCCCCCTTGCCCCTTTAAACTCGTGCCACCCTGCTTTCTGCCTCGTTCCTTTGCTCAAGCCATCTGGCCATCCTTGTTATCTAGGGTGATATTTCTCTAACACAGAAGATGTATAAAGAGTATCAGTTTGTTTCTCAGGATTCAAGAGCCACGGGCCTTTGCACGAGCTCTTCCCATGCACGGCTAACTGCTGCTTGTCCGTCAGATCTCACTTCCAAGGAAGTCTTCCCTCATCCCCCATACTCCAGCAAGTGTTCCCATGAATGCCATTATAACCCTTGTTCTTCCCCTTAGGAATTTCTTTTTTTTAATCTAATGTTTATTTATTTTCGAGAGAGAGAGGGAGACAGAGCGTGAGCAGAGGAGAAGCAGAGAGAGAGAGGGAGGCACAGAATCCAAAGCAGGCTCCAGGCTCTGAGCTGTCAGCACAGAGCCCGACGTGGGGCTTGAACCCACGAACCACGAGATCATAATCTGAGCCGAAGTCAGACTCTGAACAACTGAGCCACCCAGGCGCCCCCTGGCACACACATAACAACACACGTATCCAGCTCTGTAAGACTGGGGACTGGTTGTATTCAGGTCATCTTTGCATCCTAAGCTTGGGGCCAACAAATATGGTTTGAAAGAATAGTTGAGTAAAAATACTAATACTAGTAGTTACATTTTAATTGCTCCTCAGACACCAGGCTCCGTGAGAAGAGCTTTAGATACATCCCCGTAGTCATCCATGAAATAGAAGTGCTATTATTGTAGGAAGGGATTCTCTGAGAGCTCCTCACTTGCCTCCTGTCACCCAGGAAGGAACTGGGCGGAAGGGAGAGCCCCTCTCTGGCGGTGTCGAAAAGATTACAGCATGACCATGAGGGCAGGGCCTGGGTCTGTGCTGGCCATAGTTGAGGCCCTAGTGTGGGCCAGGGACGTAATGCTTAGGAGTAAATAGCTGTCCTGAGCTATAATAAGAGCTCATGGGGTACCAGACCCAGTGCCTACTACATTGGTACATTCTTTCTAGCCCTTTGAGCTGGCCTGGGAGGTTGGTATTGATGCCTGTGTTAAGGTGATGCTGATAAGAACGGCTAGTCTCTTGAGCACTTGTGTGTTAAACCGCTGGGCTAAGTGTTTGACATGCATTTACGCTTCATCAGATCTTCTCTGTAGTCTAGGGGGTGGTTCTTATTCTTACCTCCATTTCATAGATGAGTGAACTGAGGCTCAGACAGTCATGGTCAACAGTCCTTTAGCAAGAGGGCAGAGCTGGCATTCTAACCAGACTCTGAACCTTGACCTCTCTTAGAACCTCACTTGGGCTTTTACTGCAGAAATACAGGTTCTGAAAGGTAAAGCTACTAGTCCAAGGTGACACAGCCTGGAGGCAAAGTATTAAAATGGTTAAGGCCTTTGAGTTTGAGTCCTCGAGGTCTGGGTTCAAATTCCAGCTCTTCCACTTACATACTGCATGACCTTGGGCAAGTAACTGTCTCCCTGAGCTAGTTTCCTTTTTTGCATTTGAAATGATGTATCCTAAAACATTAGTGGTTTAAACAACATAGAAGTTTCTTTCTTTTTCCCCCAAAAGCCCAGAAATAGCCAGTTCTGCTTAAGGACCATATAGTTGTTCACCTGCACATGGATTCTCTTACCAGTGTTGTTTCAAGGTCTAAGAGGGCTGCTTAGGCACTAGCCATCATGTCTGCATTCCATCCAGCAGGGACGAGGAGGGAGGGAAAAGAGGCAAAAGCGCTTATGCCAATTTTTAAGAAAGTTTCTAGATGTTTGCACACAACACTTGCACTTATCCCACTAGGCAGAAAGTAGCCCCGTGGTCGTGTACAGGTGCAAGGAAGGCTTGGAGGCATAGGCTTTATTCTGGATGGCCTTGTGCCAGATGTGTTAGGAGCCTGTTACTATTAAAGGAGGGGGAGTAGATGTTGGCTGCCAGTTAATGGTCTGCCACAAATGGTGGGGGGTGAGCACCTCCCTCACAGGGCTGTTCATTGAGATTGGGCACACAGACCTCAGCGCAGGCTTGCCCAGGGTGACTTACTTGCTCAGTGAATGCTAGCTCTTGCTACTGAAGTTCTTATCACCAGGTAGAGCTGGAATTGTCATGGTGTGGAGGAAAGAAGGCTGGAGTTGGGTCGTTGTCAAGGCCTGGGATTCCAGGCTCTTTTAGCAGGGGAGCTCCCTGAGCTTTATTTTCCCTCTCGGGACAGTAGTGATCATCAGCCTCTCTCACTGGGTGACAGGGTAGAAATTCAAGAACAAGGACAGTGTCTGTGGAGTGCTTTATGGTGTGGGCCTGTACAAGCCTCCATTGTCCCCATACGTGAACGTGATCAGCATTCAGAGCTGAGCTGTCACGCTGTGGGCAGTGGCTGGTGGCTGCTTTGGGGAGGGGATGGGGCCGCTCACACGGGTCTCTCATCTTATTCTTGGGCCGAGAGGAGGCTGTGGGGCAAGTGTTGAAGAAGCCTTGGTAGTTTGTGGCCGGCTGAATGGGTGTGTCCACACAAGGCTGGTTTCTCTGCTCTTGATTTGTCCTCGGTGTCTACTTTCTCTCCCTCCCTGACCTTGGTTCTGTCATTGCTCGCGTCCTTGTCAGGTCTCTTCTTTAATCAGTGGTTTGGATGAGAAACAGAATTCTCTGGTGATAAGAAAATGGGAAATAAACAGTGCTCAGTTCAGGCATCTCCTCCAGAAAGCCCCAGGCTGACCACCCCTCAGCCCCCAATGCCTGCCAGCCGCTGCCCAGGCCAAGTCAAGCATTCCCCTGGGCTCCCCCATCCCCCTGCTGCCCACTCTAGGTCATCACTGTGTGGGACAGGTCTATCCCCGACACTGGACTATGAGCTGTGAGGAGTAGGGCCGGGGCTGTCTCAGTCATTGCCATGGCCCTAGCACAGGGCCTGGCACATAGTGGGTGCCTGCTTATCAGTTCAGTGAATGAATGAGAGTCCACGAACTCCTCTGACTTCATCTGATGCTGGAGGCAGAATAATCCAATGGTTAAGAATAGATTTTTGGGGGGCGCCTGGCTGGCTCAGTTGGAAGAGCATGCGACTCTTGATCTGAGGTCATGAGTTTAAGCCTCACATTGGGTGTAGAAATTAATTGAATTAAAACTTGAAGGAATGGGTCTTGGGTTTTGAAGAGGTATTTGTACACCCCATGTTCCTTGCAGTATTACAATAGCCAAGATGGGGAAGCGACCTAAAGGCCCGTCTGCTGATGAAGGGATGAAGGAAATGTGGTGGGTCCATAGGGTGGAGTATTGTTCAGCCTTAAAAAGGGAAAAAAATTAAAAAAGGTATCCTGTCACATGCTGCAACACAGGAACTGTGAGGACCTGATGCCTAGTGAAATAAGCCAGTCACAGAAAGTGATGCAAGATTCCACGTATATGAGGTATCTGAAAGTAGTCAGGCCCTTAGAAACAGGAAACCGAGGGGCCCCTCGGTAGCTCAGCCTGTTGAGCCTCCGACTCTTGATTTCGGGTCAAGTCATGATCCCAGGGTCGTGGGATCGAGCCTTGCATCGGGCTCCATGCTGTCAGTGCGGAATTCTCTCGGGATTCTTTCTCTCTCCCTCTCCCCCACTCTCAAAATAAATACACTTCAAAGAGGAAACTGGAAACAGAAAAGTGGTTCCCGAGGGTTTGGGGGGAGGAGAAAAGGGGAGTCACTCAGTGGGTGTAGACTTTCAGTTTTGCAAGACGAAGAAATTCTAGGGATCAGTCGCACAGCAAGGTGCCTGTGACTTAATGCCAACGTACTGTACGCTTGAAAGTACTTAATGTGGTAGATTTTGTATTCTGTGCCTTTTACTAGGAAAAAAAAACCCTACTTTTGAAAAAAGAGTGGATTTGGGGGCAGACCCATTTGGGTTCAAATCCTAGTTCTGCTTGTTACTGGCGTGATTTCAAGCCAGTGGGCCTCACCCCTCTGAGCCTCAGTTTACTCATCTGGAGCACTACTAACCTTTGTCCCACAGCTGAGAAGTTTGAGAAAATACGCGTAAAATGCTTAGTTCAATGCCTGGCTTTTAGGACAGTTTTTTGACTTTCCTAGAATCTCCTAGCAGAGCCAGGCCCCGGACTTAGATTTTCACTCCCAGCCTGATGCTTTTTCCTTCCTCTGGTGCAGGCGCAGCCAGTGGCTTCCCCATTGCAGTCAGAGTCCCGTTGTAAACGGTGTCCCTCGATGGCCGTGGGCCCCAGGCATTTGGCCAGGAGCAGACTCAGGGGGGCTGAGGGGGTCTTGGCCAGGGGCCTCACAGGGCTGAGGGAAAAACAAGGGGCTCGGTCTCCTGATCCGCCAGGATTCACTCTCTTCCGTTCTGTCAGTGTTCCCGAGCACCTGCTGTGGGGCAGGCCCTGCTCCCGGCACTGGGGATACGACGCAGAGATCCCTGCCTCGTGGGAGTTAAGTTCTAGAGTGGGAGACAAGTGATAAATGAACGGAAGGTGCAAGACCAAGCGGTAGCAGGTGTTGTGAAGAAAACAGGTGGAGTTGGGGCACCTGGGTGGCTGTCAGTTGAGTGTCTGCCTCTTGATTTCAGCTCAGGTCACGATCCCAGCGTTGGCCCTGTGTTGGGCCCTGCACTGAGCGTGGAGCCTGCATAAGATTCTGTCTCCCTTTGCTCCTCTCCCCTGTGCGTGCTTTCTCTAAAATAATAAAACAGTGGAGTTCAGGAGAGCAAGAGTAAATACGGGCTTGTGCGGGGAACTACTTAGAGTTGATGAGGAGGGCTTCTAGAAGGAGGTCAGAAATAAGCGAGGGGGCAGCCACCTCCTAGAGCCTCTGCAGGCTGAGGGAAGAGTGAGCATAGAGGTCCAGAGCAGAACGTGGGCGAAGTGGTCAAGGAATGGCGCGGAGGCCAGCGTGCCCCGGAGCGGAGCCAGGGGAGAGAGGTCGGAGAGGGACGTGGCCTGATAGGCCTTAGCAGAACCCCCAGGCCCTGTGTGGGAAATGGACTGCGGAGGGCAAGGGGGCCGTCAGCAGGGAGCCCGGGAGGAGGCTGCCAGGGGGTCTGGGGAGAGGAGATACCGGCTGGACCGGGGTGTGATGGGAGAGGGTTGGACTCTGGGGAGGCGCTGCCAGGAGTGTCGCCGGCATTCAGCGGATAGCCCAGCAGCCCTTCTTGTGGCTCCCGTGGGTTCTGTGACGTGGCACACAGCAGGAGCCCAGCCAAGACCTGACACTCGGAAGCTGGGTAGTGGGGGCTCCGGTGCTAGCTTGTATCCTTTCCTCACACCCTCATGGGGACTTGGAGTCGTGACCCCCCACACAGCGGCTCAAGCCTGAGGGGCATAGACTCAGGGGACATTCTCCTCTCCGTTGGTACCTTTTTAACAGCTTTATTGACGTAGAATTCACATACCGTGCAGCTCAGCGGTTTCCGGTATATTCACAGGCGTGTATATCCATCACCACATTCTAATTTTAGAAAATTTTCATGACCCCAAAAAGAATCCCATACCCATTAGCAGTCAGTACCCCCAACTTCCCACCGCTGGGTAGCTGCTAATCTACTTCCTGTCTCTGTGGATTTACCTCTTCTGGACATTTCACATAAACGGAGTCATACAACACGTGCTTTTTGTGACTGACTTCTTTCATTTAACGTTATGTTTTCAAGGTTCATCCATGTTGTAGCACATGTCACTTCTTCATTTATATTGGTAATTTTCCACTGTCTAAATAGACCACATTTTATCGATCATCTGTTGATGGATATTCGATTGTTTCCATCTTGGGACTGTTGTGAATCGTGCTGCCTGAATATTTGTGTACAAGTATTTGAATATCTATTTTTAGTTTTTGCGGTGTATCCTCGGGAGTGGAATTGCTGCATCTTAGGGCAGTAGTTTAACTTTTCAAGAACTTAATTTCTCCATGTTCTTGTCAGTATTGTCAATATCTGTCTTTTCCGTTTTAGCTTTCCTAGCGAATGTGAAGCAGTGTCTCGTGGTTCTGATATTTCTGTGATGAGTCGTGACACTGATCTTTTCATGAGCTCACGTGGTCCTGGTGTGTGTTAGAGGCCAGTCTAAGCCACAGTGCTCACACCTGGCTCTGAATGAGTGGGGGGGGGGGGGGCGCGAATGCTCGGGAGATAACATTTTAGGGGCAGGAGGTCTTGGTACTTGCTGTACAGAAAGTTGGACCAGAGCTCAGAGCCTTTTCCACCATCACAAGGCCCCCTGTCCCTAGAGGTTAGGTGGCTCCCGTTAGTCCTGCCACCCTGTGCAGCTTAGTTTCCCTCTGAAGTACGGCCCACTTGACATCAGAAGTGAGCCTACTGCTAAGCTTGGTTGCGGAGTGCTGGCAGGGCTTGGAGCTCAGTGGGGTGGTGACCTCCATCGCGTCTACCCCTGCAGAAGAAGGACCCAGCCCAGTTCCTGCAAGTACACGGCCGAGCTTGCAAGGTGCACCTGGATTCTGCCGTCGCCCTGGCCGCCGAGAGCCCCGTTAACATGTAAGACTGAGCTTGGACGGCAGGGTCGTGTCTGTGTCTGAGGGCTGGAGGTCAGAAGAGACCGAGGGTATGAATAGACCTTTGGGGACTCAGGCAAGGAACGCTTGCCTTACACGAGAAGGTGACCGTCACTGGCTGAGGAGAGCCAGCAGGGGTTGGGATGGAGGCCCTGGGATACAGAGGTGGTTGGGGTACTTGGAGGGGAATGGGTGAGGCCGGTGCCAGGGGCCCAGATGAAATGGGAAGTGGCTTGCCACAGGGGATGTTTCAAGGTGACCGGGGCTTAGAAAGCGGCCCCTGGGACCTGGCTCAAGTTTCTCTCTCGTTTGGTTCTGCGAATTAGGGCCCTTGTTTCCTCAGGGCCCTATTCAGGCCCTAACCAGGCCAAGAGCCTGAATGTGGATTCGGGGAAATGAGTGAGAAGTGGGGGGGGTGATGGTGGGCTCCATGGCCTGGAAGATCACAGGAGCTGAGGGTCAGGCTCCCAAGTTTGAGGTGACAGGGAATTGACATGGGCACTGGGGACCCTAAAGTCCTTGTTCCCCTAAACTCCTTGCTCCCTTGCTCCCCATTTTCAGGATGCCCTGGCAAGGAGACACCAACAACATGATTGACCGCTCCGATGTCCGTGCCCACCTTGACTACATCCCCGACTACACCCCCCCGCTGCTCACCACCATGTAAGCAGCTTCCCTAAGGCTTGACAAACAGGGAGTCTGACCCATGCTGCCTCTTCTTCCCCAAACCGTCGCCTGCCCATCACCTTCCTGGGAAGGAGCAGGTGTGCTGGTGGGGAGCCTCCCAGCCCAAGCCCGGCTCCTCATCCAATTCCTGCTGGCTTGGGGTGGGGCCCGCCTCCCCTCTCATCTCAACATCTTGACCTCCTCCAAAGCTCCCTGCAGAACAGGAGTCGGACGAAGCACACCACGAAGCGCCACTGCAGGCCTGGTGCAGAACGACTTTGCTGGCAGTGAGTGAGCTGGGGTGCAGGGAGGGCTGGGAGTCTGATGCAGATGGAAATAATCGTGTTTTACCTCAGTCAGCCCTTAAGGGACTCTGAGTGCTGTTCAGCTCTCTCCCTCCTGGGCCTTGCCTCGACCCAGCAGTGATGAGCCCACAAGGATCCTGTTGAGGTCACTTCCACATCCCATGTCTCAGGTCTTTTTTCCGGTGTACCTGTGGTGTTAAGAACACATTGTTTCCCTGTGTGATGTTCACCCTGCTTGTTTGGGTCGAATGTCACTTTAAAAAAATTTTTTTTTTCAACGTTTATTTATTTTTGGGACAGAGAGAGACAGAGCATGAACGGGGAGGCAGAGAGAGAGGGAGACATGAATCGAAGCAGGCTCCAGGCTCCAGCCGCCAGCCCAGAGCCCGACCGCCTGAATCACGGATCATGGAGATCGTGACCTGCTGGGAAGTCGACGCTATCCCACCGCGCCACCCAGGCGCCCCCGAATGTCACTTTTAAAGAGGAAACGTGTTTTAGGAATTGTTTAGAAATATTAGAGTTTAACAATCTGCCCAGCATTTGTATACATTTGTATATGTCTGGTATTGTTCTCTGAGCCGTCACCACTGCTGTTTTCACAAATGAGAAAATGGAGGCTCAGATTTCTTCCCACTCTGGGCTTGCCCAGGGATATTCGGACCCTGAGTTTTTTATCTGTATTATCTCATTATATCTGATTACATCTGCACAATCACCTAGGGGTGGTACCCATTTTACAGACAAGTATGTTGAGGCTCAGGAGTTGGTGGGAACACTGTCTAAGGAGCTGGGATTCTTACCCTACCCTTGACCACTGCTGCCTCCTGGTGGACAACTCTGAACTTTAGCTCACCCCCTGAGACGGTCTTTGAGACTTCCCCTTCCAGGGCTTCCCTGTTGAGTTTTAAAGAGAGGACAGGCCCACATGCAAGTCCCTCCGCCTGGCGGGCCTTGCTGTCCCCCACCCAGAGAAGGGTGGTGATGTTGGTTTTTGTCCCCCAGGGTGGGTGTAAAAGTTTGGGGAGGGATGCGTGAAGGCCCAGCACCGAGCCTGGCACAGTCAGCCACTGCCGTGGGTTTGGTATGCCCTTATTTTTTTTGTTTGTTTCTAAGGTAGACATTTCAGCATCTCTGAAATCAAAGATTGCCAAAATTCTAGCAACTGATGAGGTGTTAGGGTCTGGGAGATTTATCATCCCTTTTTGCTTTCACCAGAGGTCACAAGGGTTGCTGGTGACGGAGTCAGAGTTTCCTTTTGTTCTGACTCCTCACTCGTTTATTGCCACAATTCCCGAGCACCTGAGGTACATGACATGCTCCTCTGGGGCCAGGGGGTCTCCTTAGGGAGAGGGCGACAGCCACATAGTCACCAGAGTGGGTGGTGATTGCAAACTCAGGTGGCGTTCTAGCACACAGTGGGCCATTCTCTGAGGTCCTTGACCGAGGCTAGGGTCAGGGAGGGGTGGAGAGGAGCTCTCTGGCAAGGAGAGCCCTGTAGGGGGGGTGGAGGTAGGTACTCTGTGGGGACAGGGCGAAGGCCTATGTGGCTGGAGTAGGGAGAGCGAGGCACCTGCATGAGATAGGCCAACAGGGCCCTTTCTCGCCATGGGCGGGAACCAGAGTGGTCACTGGAGCAAGGGACAGTGCTGCGCCACCTCCAGGCTCGCCCGGCCCATCCACCTGACTTTTTGGGTAGTAGAGCTGACGCCCAGGGGAAGGGGGCTCGCCCAGGGCCCCACGCCCAGTCGGGAGCATGTGTTTCATTGTAGGGAGCATCAGGGAAGTCTCTGATACAATGCTGAGCTCCCCAGTTAGGTGTTGTGGGTAAGTGAGAGCCCAGATGGCTCTAAACACATAATTTAAACTTGAGCCACGGTGAGCCACCTGGCAGAATAGCCCGTGGAGTCCAGGTGACATCGAGCGCTCAGGATAAGCCTGTGGTTCTGAAGGACCCAACCCGAGGCCTCCCTTCCGGGGATCAGTCACGTGGCCCGGGTACCAGGTGCTCAGCTCACTCCTACAGCCGAGGAAACGAGGCAAAGAGCAATTAGGTCCCTTCACCATGGCAAGGCCACCTGCAGTTGTGTGTCCTCCCCACATGGTTTACGATGATCCGCAAATCGGCGACTCTGTCCCTGGCTGTGCTTGGGTTGTACCCACCCTCCTACCCGCCGCTGCACACACGTGTGTCCCCTGCCTCCTGAATTCCTGGTGACCCCGTCCACTCTGCCTTGCTGCAGTCTCCGAGGAGCAGTGCCTGTACCAGATCTACATTGACGAGTTGTATGGAGGCCTCCAGAGACCCAGTGAGGATGAGAAGAAGAAGTGAGTTGGGTGTCGGGGGAGGCAGGAGGACTGGGAGCCCCACCAGCACGGCCTCATCCAGCTTGTCCACGTCAGTGTCCCCAGAGTCGGGGCCAGTGCTTGGCACACGGGCGCCCACTTAGTAGGAATTTAGAGGAGGAAGTGGTGGCCAGAAGCAAGAATTTGCTCAGAAACCCCTGCCTTGAGTTTCCAGCTTGCAGCGCGGTGGGAGGTGCCATTGGTTGACCCGGCCCGGGTTTGAGTCCTGAGCGTGAGGACTCCCTCCCCGAGCTTTGGCGTGCTCCCCTATGTGACAGGCTAACGGGGGTCCCCTCTGTTTGCGGGCGATGGAGCTTATGGACGGCCTGTCCCGTGCGTGTCCTTCAGTAAGTGGGTGCTCAGCAGCAGCCAGTGTCACTGTGGACGGGGCCTTCTCAAGCCGTGTCCCTCGGGAGGAAGGGCGGGGCCTTACCTGGAGCTGCTGCTGGCTCAGGGAGGTCCTCAGCTGGCTGTGTCGCTGCTCTCTTCGTTTCCTCTGCCTGGGCAGCCTCGTGCCCTCCAGGGCAGTGCTCAGCCCGCTTGTCTGCGGCGGTCCTGGGCCTGACTCCTCCCCTCCTGCTGCTGAATCTTCCCCTTTGTGATCCTGAGCGCTTGCTGCTTCCCTCCATCTGCAGTTTCCGCAGATGTAATGGAAGCTTTTTGATGACTGATCTTTACCCAGGAGCCTACTTTCAGGAGAAGGCTGGCACTAGAAGGGCGGCAGGGAATGTTGACTACTTTCATTCAGCGACAGACATGCATGAGGCCCCTCCTCTGCTCTGGCAAAGCTGGGGCATATTGTTACCCAGGATAACTGGGTCCTGCCGTCTCGGGCTCAGACTGCTGGGGGGGAGACAGATCTGTCCCCCGACAGTAATGATCCAGTGTGGGTGGGGCTGAGGAGCTGAGGATGGTGCTCGACCCTGCCTGGGGGAGGACTTCCTGGTGTGTTGGAACTGGAGTCTGGGGGAAGAGGGAGGGGTTGTGGGAGGCAGGCGCAGAGGGTCCTAGGCTGAGGGAGAGCACGTGTGAGGGCCTGGAGGCAAGGGCACCCTTGAGAGGTCAGAGTGCAGGGAGTCAGTGTGCCCTCGAGGCTTGGCTCTGGGCTGCGCCCTGCCCTTGGCCTTCCTGGCTCACGGGCTCCCCCGGTCCCAGGCTGGCGGAGAAGAAGGCTTCCATTGGCTACACCTACGAGGACAGCACCGTGGCCGAGGTGGAGAAGGTGGCGGAGAAGCCAGAGGAGGAGGAGTCGCCAGCTGAGGAGGAGAGCAACTCGGACGAAGATGAGGTCATCCCCGACATCGGTGGGGTCCCCTCTCTGCCCTCCCCCACCCCGCAGTCCCTGGGCATCGTTTTCGTGTCTCGTTCCTCACCCTCTGTGGGGCGCCCTGCACTTACGAGCCCTGTCTCTCCTGCCCCCACTCTGGGGCGCTCCAGCCTCTGCCGTCCTCCCTGTCTCACTCATGTGCTCCTCTTTGCCGGCCTCCCTCTCTGTACGTGTCGTCTCATTTCTAGGACCCTCCTCTTATGATACTGTCCCCACCTAGGCTCTGTCTCCGTTCTCTTCTACTTGGTCAGCCTTCTCCCCGTTTTTCTCTCCCCTCTGGAAAACGAGTGTTCATTCAGTTCCAGAGTCATCCCTTGCCGCCCCCCACCCCCCAGCACTGCTGTTCCCCCCCTACCCAAATATCCGTGGCTCCAGCCAGCTACCCGTTTCCCCTCCTCAGCCAGCCGCTGCTTATCACACACATGTAAGGGGTCCATCCTACCTTCCACTTACTCATGGTGCATCCAGCTCCTGAAAACCCATGACCTCCACCCCCTGCCTCCTGCCCACTTAGATCTTTACCCACCCCCGTCCCCCCTCACGTATCCTGCATCGCTGCCTCCACTTGTCTCGCTCGTCCATCCTGGTACTCTACATCCGGACCCTCATCCGTTGCATTGCCTCTCCCCCGCCCCTTGCCCTTCGTTGTGCTCGCCTCTGGCCAAGCCCCGTGCCAGCTTGGGGATGCTGAGATGAGCTGACTCGTTCCCTCCCTGCAGAGGCCTGCAGTCTGGTGGGCGTCCCCTCGTGCCCCCGCCTCCTGGGGCACTGCCCTTCTCCCCGCTCCTCTCACTCGGCTTTGGTCCCTGACGGCCTTTCTCTTGGTGCAGACGTGGAGGTGGACGTGGACGAACTGAACCAGGAGCAGGTGGCAGATCTCAACAAACAGGCCACGACCTATGGCATGGCCGACGGTGACTTTGTCAGGTGAGGCCTGCTGGCTGGTTCTCCCCACTCCGGACCTGGCATTTGTCATTACCCCTGCTACCAACGGCCACCTTATTCGTGAGCACTAGTGTGCCTGGCCCCGTGTCGGGGGCTTCACACACACGGACTCCTGAGCTTGTGGGATGGATACTCACGACCGGGCCTTGCCTGTGCAGAAACTGAGGCTGCGCCCAACTCCACGTGACTTTGGCCATCTGACCCCTAAAAAAGCTCACGGGGCTCCTGGGCCTGGTGGACAGCACCCTCTGGTGGAGAGGCTTCATTCACTGGATTCACTTACTTGCACTTGTCGAATGGAGCCTCTTCCCTGAGTCCCACCCTGTGCAGATCACATAGAACGGTCCCAGCTAACAGAGGATTGAGTCCGAATCTGAATAATCCTGTCTGAACACAGCACCCTCTGCCCAGAACCCTCCATGACCACCCCGTCACTCGGGCAGCCTGAGTCCCCACCATGGCCACGACGTCTTACCTGTCTGGTCCTCTGCCCCTCTTCCCACACCCCGCCCCCAGCCTCCGTGGCCTCCTTACCCCCGAGCCATCCCCCGACCAACTTTAGGCCACCGTGCTGTTGGCTCTGCTGGCTTCTGTGTGGCTTACTCCCCGAGGCTGCTGCTTAGCCCTCCCTTTCTCTGCGTGGCTTCTGTGACCTCCCTGTCGAAAGCTGTAGCAGATTCTACCAGTTCCCTGGCACTTTCTTCCCCTTTCTACAGTCAAGGTTGTCACCATCTAACCTAATACCTCGGTCATTGTCCGTCTTGTCCCCAGAACGTAAGCCTGTGAGGGCGAGGATTTTTGTTTGTTTTCAATGCTGAATCACCAATGTGTAAAATAGCGTTTGCACGCAGTAGGTGCTCAATAATAGTGCTGAACGAGTGAGAGACTTCCAGGATGGCACGGGATCCCTCGCTTCCTGCGACAGCCCTGTTTGTGGCCTGCCCACTCCTCCATTGTCACCGTCCTCTCCTTCCACAGGATGCTCCGGAAAGACAAGGAGGAGGCGGAGGCGATCAAACATGCCAAGGCTCTTGAGGAAGAGAAGGCCATGTATTCGGTGAGGGCCGGGTCGGGTGGGGGCAGGGGTGTACGTCAGGGAGGGCATAGCCCTCACCGGCCAGGTGCCCGTCCCACTCCAGGGCCGTCGCTCCCGGCGCCAGCGGAGGGAGTTCCGGGAAAAGCGACTAAGGGGCCGCAAGATCAGCCCACCCAGGTAGGTCGGGTTCTCCCCTGTGCCCTGCCAGCCTCATTCTTTCCGGGCTCTGGGGGAGGGGCTGGGGCTCAAGGAGACTCTTTGGGGGCACGCTTTCGTTTGTGGACAGAGTCCTCCTAGTGAGGCAGTAAATGGGAAAGATTCAGAATAGGAGTGGCTGAGGGGCGTGTGGACGCCCTGCCCTGCCAGCCACTCCCCGTACCCTGCTGGACTTGGAACTCTTGCCAGGCATCCCAGGCACCTGTGGGGAGGTGGTGTGGAGTAGCTGAGGGCAGAGTCACGGGGAACAGGCCTGTCCCTGAAGTCCTGCCCGGTTCTCCTCCTGGGCTGTGTCCTTGTCAGATTTGGGGCAAGTGACTTCTATCTTCTGTTTCCTCCTTTGGAAAAGAGGCATTGTCATCTCCCAGGATTGGGGGCGAGCCAGTGCCCACTTTGAGGCCTAGGGCGGGTTTGGGTGAGGCAGAGGTGGGGTGTGGAGAGTCCACCTAGTCCAGCGGCCTCGAGATGAGCCTGCTGCAGCTTCTTAGCCCTGGAGGCCGCGGGCAAACCCATGCCGCTTTTTGCTGTGTCTCCTCTGGTCGGGGAGGGTCCTTGAGGGGAGCTGTGAGGGTTAAACAGCCTCTTGTGGGTTCACAGGGCTTGGTGTGGGGTCTGGAAAGGGTTCCTCAACAAGCTGCATGGATTCTTGCTGTCCCCATTCTCCCCTAGAGGTCGTCAGTGTAGTGCATGAAAGCATGCGCTCAGGGTCTTAGGGCCTAGCTGTGAATCCCAGCTCCTTCATTTAGGAGCTGTGTGATGCTGGGCAAGTGACTCTCTATCTCTGGACCTCAGTTTCTTCAGCTCTGAGGTGTGAATGATTACATTACCCATGGCAGAGTTGTGAAGCAGTTGAGGTAGCTTTTGTAGTTTTATTGTTGTCATTAACAAGCCAGGACCCAGTTAGCAGAACCAAGGACTTGGGAGTGGCAGGAGGGACACTTCAGTCTAGGGTCAGAGCCCAAGCAGGATTGAGGCCGCTGAAGTCCTTGTTGTTCAGGGTCAGGAGGGGCCCGGGACATTCACTGTTTGTGGTGTGTGGCCGAGGTTCAGGCTTTGGACAGATCTGAGGCGAGGCGGGCAGAGGGATCAAGGTAGGGCTCGGAACCTGGCCGCAGCCGCCTCCTCCACGGACCCAGTACCTGGCCTTGAGTGCCTTGGTTGGGGGGATGGGTGCAATTCCGTGCCCACTCAGATGCCCAGTCCCTGCTTGTCCCGCCCCGTTCTCTCCACAGCTACGCCCGCCGAGACAGCCCCACCTACGACCCCTATAAGCGGTGAGTTTCCAGGGCCCAAGGAAGGGCAGGGCTGGGGAGGAGGGGCGGGGCCACCCTGTAGGCTGCTCTGAGACCTCAGACTGGCACCTGGTGTCACCTGTGGGTGTGAATCATTTTTCTGTTTTTCAGAATGTTACTCTGCTTTCCCAGTTTTTTTTTTCCTTTAAACGTGAACCTTCTTTGATCTTCTGATTTAAACACAACGTGGTTGTGTGTTAAAAATCACCAAGCATGATAGAAAGCCCTGACATAGAAATCAGAAGTCTCTTTGATCTAAATTGCCAGAAATAACCAGTGAGAAATATGGCCCAGAAGGGCCTGGCCTTGCCCATGTGTGTCTTCAGGATGTGGGAGTAGTTGGGGCAGGGGCCTTGAGTTTGGACGGACATCAGTCTGACCCCCCGTACGCTTTTCAGGATGCAGAGGGAGGGACCTGCCTCTCTGGCCTCATGGAAGAATAGGTAAGGTGAGGCATGTGCCTTTCAGTACAAGGTCTGGCACAGGCAAGCGCTTGGTACAGAGGAGCTGTTAGGGACGTAGGTAGTTTTCCCTTGTGATGATGGAATTCAACCACACTTAACGTTCCAGAACTTGTTTGAAAGCTACGTCGAGGAGATCTTTCTGGATCTGTTCATTGCCTTTTAATAGTTCCATGAGATCGATACATTTTTCTGTCACTCGTTTTCTTACTTACTTTGAGGAGGCTCCGTGGTTGGGAGTCAGACCCTTACAAAGCTGAGTTTCTCATCTGAGCTTCTCACCGTCCTCGTCTGTGGCCCTGTGCCATGTTTACTTAGCCAGGGGGCTCCCGGGGAGCCTGGCAATTGAGCCCCCTCCTCCCTGCCCTGTAGGTCACCCTCAGAGTCCAGCTCCGAGTCCCGCTCCCGCTCCCGCTCCCCGACCCCAGGCCGTGAGGAGAAGATCACGTTCATCACCAGTTTTGGGGGCAGCGATGAGGAGGCAGCCGCAGCAGCGGCTGCAGCAGCCGCATCAGGGGCCACCACAGGGAAGCCCCCCGCGCCCCCCCAGCCCGGCGGCCCCGCACCGGGACGTAATGCCGGCGCCCGGTCGGTAACGCTCACGCTGCCCGTCCTACGCCCCCGGCCACCGTGGGGGGGACCCAGGGCAGTGGGGGGCCACGGCCCAGGCCCATGCTGACCGGCCCTCCGTGCCCCGCCTGCAGCCGCCGCTCCTCCTCCTCCTCCTCCTCCTCCTCCTCTTCTGCCTCGAGGACCT